CACATTAATAACTTCTCAACTGGATTAATAATGCCCTCATCATGGTGACTCCAGACCTAGGGGCATTCTTCCCAAGCCAGCTTTTTTCTCCTTCTTTTGCTTTAAACAATGAGACATCCTTGCCAGAGATCAGCTACATAGAAGGGGAAAAAAAAAAAATACAAGCACTGCCTGGAAATGAGACCAACAACATGCTTAGAATGTTTGTACACTCCATGGGATTACAGCGATCCAGGTGAAACCTCTTTGTCCTTTCCTCATGAGGAAAAACCTCTGCTTGGAAATACAGTAGCAATGACAAAGAGTTCCAGAGATGCTGGGATGGAAGCAACTGCAAAATATTATCATCTTTTCTTGACTGGTAAAAGCCCTTACCTCTGACTGCCGAATTGCCTCCTGACATATTCCTCCCTGACTTCCTCCAAGCTGGATGGGCTCCCATCCTCCAGACTGCAGCTCGCTGTTGTCAGCAGAAAGGTCACTGTCACATCAATGGCACTTTTGGCTTCTCTCTCCCCCTCAGCCCCAACCTAGCAGAATACTGCCAACAACTAGTTCTTCACAAGACAGAGCTTTTCATTAGGCCAAAATTATGTGAAAGAAGAAACATCTGTCTCTCCTAGAACATAACTAGCACTACTGGGAGTTTATGAACACTGAGGAACCTAGAATCAATGCCTTCTTCCTAACATTGATTTTACAGAACTGATATTGAAAACAACCTGCAAATCAAACTCTGGGCACGCACTAGTCAATACAGTATTTTTTTAATAAAAAAATACCTTATAATGAACAAATTGCATGTGAAAAACCCTGACAATCCAGCCTGTGATTCACAAGCAGTATGGATTTTACACATATGCAAGTACATACAAGGGGAAGCTTGCCTCAAACTCCCCTCAACCAGCCTCCCCGCTTGTTATCCTTTCAATTTTGCTCTGTCAAACTATTCTTTCTACCTATGACTCACTTTTATGGGTTATCCAAGGATGTGGGTTCAGATGAGGTTGTTAATTTTAAGCACTGAGACTTATAATTGATTCAAATTATTGGAGGTGCAAGTCACATGAATAGCAGGGTATTTTCTAGCTGACAGGAATTTGGACACTTGAAAGAACAAAAAAATATGTCCAAAGCCTCTGTGCTATCAGCCCCTGGTCCTGCTTGCTGCTAGCAGAGGCAGTGGCCAGCAGCACTAAACAGAAGGCACGCTGCTGGGGCGTGAGGTCCTGCAGCAGGAGCTGCCACAAGTGCAGACAGCACCTGCTGGCCAGTGTGACCGAGGTGTCACAGGCTGCAAGAGAGCAGGGCTTGAGAATGGCCTGCCAAGCTGAAAGAAAACAAAACTGCAGCACCTCTCTTAACCATTTATATCAGAGTACACTCTTAACCAGAGGCTTCCATTTCCTACCCTAGGAAATCCTTTTACCTCACACCAGCTCTGGCAGGGCTGGGTGCTGGTGACAGCTGTGACTGTCCTGGTCACACTGCTGTGACCAGGAGGAGCACACAGCTCCTGCAGGAGCCTAAGGATGCAGCCTGGGCACCCACAGCAGCCCCACACCTGCTGGGGGGAAGCTGCCAAGGGTACTCTGCCACGGGAGAGTAGGAATTGCTTGTTTCCTCTCTTCACCCAGGCTGGGGAGAGGGTAGGAAAGGCTGAGTCAGAGGGGAATTTCTGAGATAGATACAGTGCTCAATGGATTGACAGACTTCTCACTGTGCCTTACTTATTGCTACAACTAAAGCCACAGCTGACTGCAATGCTTTAATGGGCTCAGCTCTGTACTTCTGTCTCTAACAAATACATAAAAACCAAGTCCAGGCTCTTTGTCCAAGCAAATACTTGCGTAGAGTTACCTTTCATCTTCAGCAAAGAACACAAGGTTTGCTCCAGCTTCTGGATAGATGTCTTAGCCTTACGCAAAACCTGATACTAAACATAAGAAGAAAACAGAACTGATTGTTCTCTGCTCTAACTAGATTCATGTTTTAACATGCCTTTGTTGCTTTGCTTCTCCTTCATGTTTACCTTCAGTAATTTCCATGTCTCTGTGAAAATATATTGTGAAAATAGTGTTGTTTCACTAGCTACCCTTATACATATGAAAAAGGGAAATAATTAATAAAAGAGTAAACTTCAATACAGAATATAAATATTTGGGTATCTATTATGGAATACATACACATAACACCCAGTCACACAGACATTGGCTACTTAACTCGGATCTTTTTTCATCAGCAAATGGTCTTGTTTGGATCGTTCTCTTCTTGGAGCATGTCCAGAAATACCATGCTGCGAGTCTTGTTGGATGCCTACCAACTTAAGGCATAAGATTTTACTAATGGTTTCCCATGAGACTTTTGCTAGGAGAAGCCTCTGCCATGTTCTACACTGCTGTAACCTGGATTACAGCAGCATAAAACATGGCAAAGGCTCCTCTTAGAAAAAGTCTCGATTAACAGGATTAACTTCAGTGCTGCACATCATTCCTCCATCATCTACACCAAGTAAAACTAAAAACATATAGCCAGTGCGTTTAAACAGACACATCTCCAAAATATTTCAAGATTTCTGTGCATGGTGAGACCATCCATATCTACCTTGCAGAGCTGGATATTTTAGCCAGGCACCAAGCACTAGGATTACAAGCAACCTTCTGTATTAAGACTTTTTAAAGTATTAAACTACCTTGGCTCCCAAGAGTCACACAAGGGGCACAAGACACTATGAAAAAGCAATTTCAAGAACTGGTATGTGAACACAGTTCCCTGAGACCAGGCAAAGGAAGCAGTGCTTAGTCTTGGCTTTGGAGATCCTGCTGACTTCAGGTTAACTTGTATCTTGCTCAGAACATGGCAAACCGAACTCTTACCTCAACCTACATGAGGGCTAAGGGACTCAGCAGGCACAAACCACATATAGTGGTATTCAGCATATTCAGGAGACAATTCCTGTCCTAAACAATCATTACCCCCTTTACTTTACAAACTGGAAAACTGAAGGTAACCAATGGAACTAAATAAATTAGTTACAGAGTTGAGTAGATACTCCTGAGGTTTGCTCCTCTGCCTCGAGCATGGTAATTTTAGTCTTTTCAGTATTATTTTGAGTAAATTTCATCTTTATAAACAATTTTGCCTAAATAGTTTCTTCCTTTAGTTGAGACCAAGAAACAGTACTGGTGCTTGTTTTTATTCCTGAGCTTATCTTTCCACTGTCTTGAAGACAATGTGCACCTCATAACACTGAATGAATTATTCCTTTCCCTCTAATTCCTCCTGTCCCTAAACTCACTGTTCTGATTTCAGAACAAAATGCTGTGACATCAGCTTCATCATGGGATCCCTTGGTTTGTTTCCAAAATACTATAAAAGGAAATGCAAAGCCATAAAAATGCTGCAAAAAGCCTGTAAGAAAAGTACAGATAAGGCACATGATAAACTCATGACCCAGCCACTACAAACTGGACAACTCGCTTAGGCTGAGCTGGCAGCTTTAGAGATCCAGGAGAGGTGCAGGCAGTGAAATTACACACACACTGGCACCCACAAAGACACAGCGACCACGGACTGAGCCTAAAGCTGGATCAGTGTGAGCATGCCCACGTATTACAATGATGCAGAGAGAAACAGTCACTGTTCCGCACCTTTGAGGCACAGCTGTCTGACTGGGATAAAACTCTTCCCCGCAAGCTGCTGAAGAGTCTTGCCAGAGGAACCCAGTGGTGTGCCTGTGGCAAGTGCTGCTTTGCCATGCAGTGTTCTGCCTCTTGCAGGTGTCTCAGGGGGTTGAGACTCACTTTGGCATGTGTCTTCCTACAGTCTCCAGCTGTGCCTGTTGGAAGCTGCAATGCAACATTTATTTATACTGAATAAATAGCTAACTGAAGGGAAAGAAATCTTACAGCCTGCACAGTGGATAGACAAAAAGAAAAAAAAATCTGCCTGACAAGAGCTTATCTTTCTGTAGAAAATCATGGAGTTTGAAATATTTTCTTTGCCTGAAACATACCTGCCTGTTAAGTACTTACTAAAACCTAATTCACCACTAACAATTAACAGCAACCCAGCTGAAGCCAGCCTCCCATCTCCTGCACCCTTCCCTACAATGCTTTGTGTTTCATTTCCATGGAAAATCCAGGGCTTGGCTTCACAAAGCACTAAGGCTCCTCTGCTCCCACCGATGTTGCTAAATGACAGGCTTCTTTACAACATAGAACATTTTTTTTTTCCCAATAAACTGTGACACATTGGTGTGGGCAACGAGACCAGACATACTCTTGCACGAGAGGGCCAGATCCAGGCCCAGCCGGGCCTGACACAGCCTGAGGCGCCCGCCTGGAAAGCCCTTCCCGGCTTTCCACTGGATTAATGCCCCCTGCCTCGCTACCGACCGCAAGCACAGCCCAGAGGTAAGAGTGCCCGCCCCTGCTGCTCCTTCTGAGGTCGGGAGGCACGGGCCGGCCGAGGGAAGCCCGTGAGGGGCCGCGCCGGGAGCCTCTGGACGCGCCCGCTCGCTCCGTCTACCAATCCACCCATCCATCCGCCCATCCATCCATCAATCAATCCATTGGCACCGCCCGGGCCCCGCCCCCAACGCCGCCGCGCCTCTGCCGCCGGCGCCAAGCAACACCAGCCGCACGTGGCGGACGGCCAATCGGCACCCAGCCGGCTCCCGGCGGCGACCAGTCAGAAGGCGGGAAAAACGCGGGCCGGACGCTCCAGCGGGGTGGAGCGTGGGGCAGGGAAGAGGCGGGCAAGGCACGCTGGGAGCTGTAGTCCCGTTTGGGGCTGGTCTGGGCCGGGCCGTCCCCTCCCCGCCCCGCCCCCCCGTGGGCGGGCGGTGCCGGCGGCGCCGCGGGGTCCCCATGGCGGCGGCAGCGGAGCGCACGGACGAGCTGGTGCGGGAGTATCTGCTCTTCCGCGGCTTCACCGCCGCCCTGAAGCAGCTGGACGCCGAAATCAAGGCGGACCGGGAGAAGGGTTTCCGGGTGAGCGGCGACCGCATCCCCGTTCCCGGCGGGGCTCTGGGCGCGGGCGCACCCCTAGGAGAACGCGGGCCGCGGGCGCCGCTTCGCGCTCCAGGGGCTGGGCGAGGGGAGCGGGCCTGGCGCCGGGGAAGCCCTCGGAGCCTCCGCGCTTTCCCAGAGAGCGGCCGCCCCGGCCCTGCTGGGCTGGGCTGGGCGCGGGGCCCGGCCGGCCGCACAGGCGGGACCCGCATCTCGGAGCCGCCCGGCCCGCCCTGCTCTGCCGCCGCTTAGGGACGCAGCCTCCCGGCGGGGCTGGAGCCGCTTGAAGGCTCCCCTCCCGCTCGGCTCCAGGGCGGCTCCATCCCCTCGCCTGCCTCGCGGCTCCCGGCAGCCGCCCCGCGCCGCTCCCAGCCCGGCCCTGGGGGGACCCCGCGTCCGCCCCGGGGGGGACCGCCAGCGGATTCTCGGCTTCCAGGCGAGAAGAACCGAGGAGACCCGCGGACCGAGAGGGCAGGAAGACATTCCTTTGCCTGCATCTTTTCTTTGTCATGAGATTTTTATCCAGCGGAGCTCCGCTCGTTAGTTTGCATGTCTTGAGTACCGGCTGCCTTGACTAACGCGTGGAGATCGGCGCAGAATTTGCCAGTCTCAGAAATACAGTTTCAGTCCATTGCATGAGCTTCGTATTCCTGTAGCAACAGTCTTGGGCACCGAAGGTAGTGCTTTGAACAGTCAGATTTTTCTTTGACCAGCAATGTAAACACTACTTTTATCATTAATAAAGCATGTTGCTTTTATTTTTTAAAACACCCGTACTTTGCTGGTGACTTAATCTGAATTGTCCAAGAAGGGTCTGCTGGGGTCACAAACTTCAGTTTTCTATATCTGAAGGATGCCACAGAGATAAAATTTGGGTATGTCCTAAGATACTAAGTGATGAGGGGAGAGCAAACCACATATTAAACAACCTTAGTTTAATTTTATATGGGATGCAGTTTTTTCTTTTTCTTATGCCTGTCTTTGCCATCAGAAACCACTGAACAAAAAATCTGTTCCCACACCACCATTCTGCCTTATTCATATTGCAGAAATGATTTCCAAAGAGACATAATGACAAAAAAATTCTTCTGCAAAATTTTATGCTTGCCTTGTTAGTAGATGATGTTACTAAAGATAAAAGTACTTCAAAAATTGCAATGGAGCAGAACTGACTTCCTCTTTCTGTTGGCTAAATGCATATATTTTTCCTTTTAGTCTAAAAATAGTACTTTTTTTTCAGGTGCTGCACTTGAGTTTGAAATATTTAATCACATTAATTTTTTAAAAATTATTATCAACAGACTTTCAAAGGATGTGGAAAGTTTTGCTTACTTGTAAAAAAATCCATCAGTTGGGTTCAAGGAATGTGATATTTCTGTCAAAATCTGTTTGGCTATGCCCTGTCATATTTCTTTTTCCTTTATTTGCAAAGTGCTGCAGAGTGGAAGAACGCTAATGCAAAATTCAGAGTGTTTCCAGGATTAGAAAATAGCTAATGTATAAGCATTGCACAGTTAAAGCAGTTCAAGCTTCTGAGCACTAAGTTACAGAAAGTCTTGTGCCTCAAGAGCCCTCCCATGAGTGAAGTCTTCCCGTTTTGCCTCTTTAGGTGGATAAGATAGTGGAGCAGCTGCAGCAGTTTGTTCAGAGCTACGATCTGGCTGCCCTGCGGGATTACTGGAGCTATCTGGACCGACGCCTGTTCAGCCGTTTGGAAGACGTGTACCGGCCAACGGTGAACAAGCTGAAAACCAGCTTATTCCGATACTACCTGGTCCATGCTATTCAGGTACTGCTTGATTTTTTGGCTACTTTATAAAAGGTCCTGGTCTCTGAAACCGAAGCAGTAACCTGCCTTTGTGAGCCTGTGCCAGGCCTGCTGGGTTAGAAACAAGCAGTTCGTGTGTTGTGGTCAGGAGTGTGGTGTGGAGTTTGATGCAGACTCACATGACAAGCTTGTGTGCAGGACAGGGAAACTCGGGCAGCAGGGAAACGTGGTTTGCTGGGTGCAAGGTATTCACACTCACATAAAGACAGGTTACTCTCAAAAAGGATTACAGTACTGCTAGCTCAGTCCTGCTCATTTAACTTAGATACTGGCAGAGAACACAAGGTTCAAACTGGAACAAGGAAATGTGGAAGAGAAAATAAATGTCTTTTTGCTTGCTTTGAATAGAACAGAAAATAATGAGCTTAAAATGCAACAGAGATTTTTTCTGTTCAAACTCTGGGAAGTCAATGGAGTATATTCTCCCCTTGATTCTTCTTGGTTCCATTCCATGACTGAAGATCCAGGTGTTAGTGGAGGAGTCAAAATCTAATACATCTTTCTAGAAGTGTGCTTTTTCATGGTTTCTTTTGCTGTGTGCCTACTCTGAGGTGTGACAGTCCTGTCTGAATAATGTGTCTGTTGGAAACCTTTTCAAGGTGCATGTGCTGTAGACTTAAGTAATTTGAATTATCCTTTGATCCTGTATATGAAATGCTCATGTCAGTGCACTCTGCACTGGTTTAACTGAAACCAGTGTGTTTGGTTCGATTGGTCTCAGCCTTTAAACAGGATTCTGGTGACTAGAAAGAAGGTTGGGTTAGGTGCATTTGTGAGCTTCTCCTACCATATTTGTTTTTTTTTTTTTTTCCTGGTGAATCTGTAACTAACCACTTGATGTGTCAGGGTGGTGAAAATAGTTGTGTTCATAACAAAAAGCAAATGTTCCTCGACCTTATCTGGTGGCATTAACAGAAGTGTGGGCCCTGTTCTTCTTGCTGTGTTTCAGAATGGCCGCAATGATAAAGCACAGGAGTTTTTCCTCAAGCAGGCCTCTGAGCTCCAGAACCAGGCAGAGTGGAAGGATTGGTTTGTCCTGCCCTTCCTCCCTGCTCCAGACTCCAACCCCACCTTTGCTACCTATTTCTCACGCCAGTGGGCAGATACATTCATCGTGTCTCTGCACAACTTCCTGAGCGTCTTATTTCAGTGCATGCATATCCTTCTTTGCAGCTTTGCAATCTCCCTTGCCCTGGTGTTAATCTTTCAACAGTTATGCCAAGGATATAATACTATGGAACTTCCTGCTTTCAGGTGATTTTTTACAGCCAAGACTTAATAGAAGTTGGTGTTTACCAGAGGGTGTTACTGCTAGTAATAATAGTTACTGCTCAATTATCTGATGATATGTTGTATTCCCTGAGCAAAACAATTGTGGTCGTTGGTGGTGCTGAATCATCCCGATGCTAGTGACTAGAAATCTTGTGCACATCTTGTTCTGAAATGGTTTTACTCTTTGCTTGACATAGTACAAAACAGTCATACAACCTTGGGTCATAATCCATAACTGTACTGGCATCTTCTGTTAGATCCTTCTTTGGGTGCATTATATTCACAACATTGCCTAGTGACAGCTCATTATAATAGAGCAGTTGATTTTTGGCAGGAATAAGTTTTTAGTGCCATGCTACAGAGTTCTGTCTTGTTTGGTGATGATGCTGCAGCTGGAATACAGCTCATCTTGAACTGTTTCTTCAGTGTACAGTAAAGCAGTAATAGAACCCATCTTGCCCTCCACTTCTGACTCTAAAAAGAAATAATCTAAAAATCCTTGCAAAGTCCACATGAAATAGTTTAGCTGCTAATCTTCTGGTCGTGCACATACTTTTTGCTAATTTTATGGACTGGGCAGCTTTGTTTTTACAGAGAAATGGCCAGTACAGAGTGCTGGCTTTTAGAATTAAGCCAGGTGCACACAAGTTATTGCCTTGATTTTCTTTAACATTGCTTACCAGTTCCAGTCATACTGAACTTTGAAGCTGAATGTCTCAGGACCAGTCTCATACAAGAAGAAAATGAATCCTTGCGGCATAAGGTCAGAACTGAGATCACTCTTTAGCTGCTGACTGTGTGATGTGAGTTTTGTAAAATTGATTCCATCCATTTGAGAACTTTGTTCTGTTTGGTGCAGTTATTCTAAGGCAGGTTCTTTAAGTCTTTTGATTTATTTTGATTTATCTTTCAATTGTTTCCAGCAAAGTTAGGGTTGTGATCATATTGTGAAATGTGTGTTTAGGATATTCCTGTCCCTCTGCTGAAGGTGATTGTCTCCCCTCCCTGTGCTGTCTGACAGGTGACTGCATACTATACAAACTCATTTTCTGTTACACTGCAAAGTCAAAACAAGGTGAAACTGGTAGCAGGTTAGGGATGTATGTTGTAGAGTTATAGAATGGGTTGGAAAGGAAGTATGGCTGATTTTGTGAATAGTATGCAATCACTTCCAGATTTTAGCAGATAGAGAAACAGAAGCAATAGAAATGGGTAGTAAATTCTGGCAGAGACAGAAACTGTTACTTCTGAAATGGCCCCTTCACCATGTTTGATATGTACTTAAAGCAATTTAGACCAGCTAGTGGAAATATTGTGAATGTCTGTTTCCCAAGTCTAGATCTTACAGTAAACCATAAGAAGGGTCCGTTAGTTCAGACAAAATGTTGCCCAGCTCCATGTCTTGTGTTTGGCAGTGTTATCAGCAGATACTTAGGGAAAGGGTGTAACTTGGGTCAGTCATTTCCACATATAACTTCTGTTAGAGAAATGTGTGAAATCTGAAGTTTAAGATTTAAACTATAGATCATATGTGGATGGTCACATGCAAGTAGGAAGGATTATTCATGTAAGCAGAACTTTAATTTTGCTTCCTCAAACATACCAAGAAAAGCTCTTTCTGTATAAATATTTCAGTAAAGTTTGTGCTTTACCTCCTGTGTTACAAAACATTGTTGTATGTTGTGTTTTCTGTTTGTACTGTTTTAATAGCTGTTCAACACTGTCCTAGAAATAGAAGTAAAATAGAATAATTGATTTCAAAAAAGGAGGCCGTTTTTCAGGAAAAAACCCAAGATTTGTCACTGTGTACTGTATGGAGTTAGAAGGTCAGTCAAACATTGACAGGAGGGTTCTGCAAAGATGGTCAGTGAATAGGGACAGAGGATGAGGTATGTTTTGCAACAGAGCTTTTATTTCCTCAAATTTTGTATTCTTTACTTTTAGTCAGAATAAACCTATGGTTTGTGTTTTGCATGTTGGCTGATACCATTTGCAGTCTGGATAAAAGTTTTTTGGCAAATCAACAGCAGCAAAACTAGACTTTCCCTTTTAGTCAACTCCTCAGGTCAGAGGGGGAACCAGTGACCTCTAGAATACAGGTTTTAAGAAAGGATGCCAATAAATAGTGATGCTAGCTGAAATTTTTTTGATGCTAGCTGAAATTATCTGTTCTATTCTGCTGAAACAATGCAAATACATAAATAGTGAGCTAGATTTCTAAAGCTCATTTTTCTTCCTGTATTTTCTTTCCTTAAATATTGTGTTAAAAAGAAAAATAAATATATCTGAAAAACAAATGTACAGAAACAGAAAAGCCTGAGGAACTCTTTGTGTAAGAGTCACAGGCATAAACCACATCTGTTCCAGAAAGCTGCATCCTGAGGTTCCTCTCCACTAAGGGGAAAAAGAGATGGTTTTCTTTCTCCATAATGTGGAGATAAATCTCACCATCATGCTTGGGAAGGAATTGCACAGGGTATGGAGCTGGATTTCAGGCTGACCTGGTTTCACTGACCTTGGTGCACCCTGCCAGTTGAGCAAACCCTTGGCTGTGGGAAGAAGATTACCTTGTAGGCTCTGTGCCTGCATTGCCCTGGCCTCAGACTGCCTGCAGGAGAGGGGCTGTAAGCTCTGCCCTGCCCATCTCTTGTTTCCCAGCGCCACTAATGTCCCACAGCCAGCCCCAGGAGAGGAATGAAGGGCTTTAAGTAGGCTCCAGTTTCATGTGCCTAAAGTACTGATTGTTTTGACTAATTGGACTAATGTGGTGCTCAGCCAGTAAGAGCAACTTTTTTCCTTCCCCGCCCTTCTAGAGCTGTTAAAATAAAAGGAGTAAACAATTTCAGTGAGTGGGAAGGAGGTGAATCTCAGTGACCCTGTGTTTACTTGGCTCTTTTCTCCTGTCCTAGCTGTTTGCTCTGCAGGCTGAATCCTCCCGCATGAAGAAAGAGGAATTGGAGGTGGAGCAAACAGTAATGCATCACAAGCTGCCGGCATATGTGGCCAACATGGATCGACTAGGGGACTCTGAGCTGTGAGTGCTTGCAGGAGAAGAGCTGGGGACAAGCTCTGCTGCTTTTATTGGGACAGGGAGGTTCCTGGAGGGTCATTTCCACGTCCACTGCCCTGGGATTCAGTGCAGAAAGACATCCATGCAGACATTATGGTGACCTAAGTAGGTTTAATGGAATTCATGACAGGTGTCTCTCCCATCTTTTGGGAGGTTCTTGCAAACCAGTGAGAGCCCAAGCACGCATGGAAGTGATTCTGCTCTGCTGCCATTATTGCACCAAGGTGTTCTGGGCATCCAGGGCACTGGCAGCAGTGCAGTACCTGCAGTATTGCTCAAATGAAGTGGATTGGCTCTTGATTCCAATTTACTTGAGTGCCTGCAGTGCCATAGGTGAATGCCCTGTGTTGTTTTGTACTGTTATTTACTGTATGACCCAAATGGATTCTTCTTACACAGAGATGTTTTCTTGCTTTTGCAAAGTCAAGGGAAAAGGAGCTTCTCTTCTGTGAGGCTCAGATTTCCCCATGAACTTGCTGCAGTTAAAAGTGTATTTTGTGGCTACATCCACTTTGTGCCTATCTCTGGAAATTAGGCAACATACACAGTGTTACAGCTTCTTTAACTGTTATTTTTTTTACCCCAGGACAGGAATAGGATTGATTAAACTATCCTGTTGCCAGTGACAGAGAGAAGTTGTAGCAGGTACTACACACAGAATGTTTTAATCTAAAATTTGTCTGATTAAATAGACTAAGTGTTTATTGAACTATCTTTGTGACAGCTCTGCAGTCTTTGCACAGTACAGGCTCCAGAGTTTAGTTTGTGATGTATTTTTTTTTAACTCTGTGGAAAGCCCTGATGGTATCCACATGTATGGAGGAGTGTGACATGAGGGATGGGGTAATTTATTCCTGTATTTATTTTTGTCCATTTGAATTAGAAAAACTTGCCTAAGAAGTGGCATTTCTTGCATGTGCAGCTTATCTCTTAGTCTAGGGACCAGTTCAGTTGCTTATTTTTGTGTCTCTTCTTAACCCAAAGCCCAGCTTTGGTAGAATAGTTCCATCCTTGCAGAGTGGATCGAGACAGTGAAGATTATTGTATTCCCCTTGCCCTTGCTGCCACTGTGCTCTCAGAGGAAGCTGTAGCACAGTGAGGTCAGACAGTTATGTTCTGGGAAGCAGCTGCTGCTCTTGGCATTGTGGACTGAGAAGGGAGGTGTTTATAATCACTGAAATGGTCTGTAGCTCTCTTATTTCCTTTGGGTCTGGATTTTGAGATATTGGAGACTTGTGCCATAAAGTTGTTGAACATAACCTGCTGTTTATCAAAGGGTGTTCAGTGAAATACTGGATGCTGAATGTCTCTCAAAGTAGGTCTGTTTTATGCTTTGAATTGGGAATCCCATCTTAATAAGTTCTACAGCAATCTGAATTCCCCTGCCTTTCCCTTAGAGTCTTTCTAAACAAGCCAGATGGAGTGGAAGGAGTTTTAGGTGGCTCTGAAGCGGATTCAGTTTGAGCTCACTGTCTCAGTGGCATCTCTGAGAAGTGAGCTTTTGGTTACAGTAACTGTAATGACCTGCTCCAGGCACTAAGAGGATATTTTCAAATAGGGTTTTACTGCATAGTGGTGCACTGGCTTGGAAATGAACATCTGTCTTCCAGTGGTTCAAAGAGCTGCCACTTCACTCAACTGGTGGTCTTTGGGCAGGTTGCCTTGCTACACTTTCACATTCTATTTGGTGGTGTTTTGTTTTTTCATTAGTGATATGACCTGCAATCAGAGAAGTACAGCACATTCTCTTCAGTCCCGCGGAGGCTTTCTGTCCTCCTTTCTCTCCCAAAGTAAAAAGGGCCCTTCCAGACCAACCCATTCAAGTGGGGCTTCTCCAGTGCAGGCTAGCAGTATGCTGCTAGTGAAGAAAGAACCAACAAATCACCAGGTAATTCTCAGCTGAAAGTTGCTCAGTCTCCAAGGAGTTAACTTGCACCACGGCACTGCTCCAAGCTTCTGCTTTCACCTGAAAAATTAAATGTTCTGTCCTGCCTTGCAAATGTATGCTGGGCCTGAATGCAGCACAAGAACAGCTATTGTTATCTAAGAGCTTGTGGAGCCCTTGCAGGTGCTCTGTTGCTTTGCTACTTCTTTTGCTCTTTGTTCTGCAGCCTACTGGAAGCATAACTTTGCCCAGTCACTTCTCTGCTTTCCAGAGTGCCAAAGGAAAAGAAGGAACCGTGAGCTCTAAGGATGGGAAGAGCCACTTCAGTGGTTTAGTGGCAGGCGAGTCCAGCTCCCTGCAGCAGCGGCAGAAGCGCTTGCAAGAGCATGGGAAAGAAAGGAAGGAACTGTTGTCAAAAGGGACCTTCCAGGTACTGGTCAGCACTGCAGGGCTGGGAAGAAGAAGGCTTGTATTTCTGTAAAACTAAGGGGTAAAACAAGTGCAAGTGTTTCCTTTAAGCTTCGGAATTGCTAGTCAGAAATAACTGTATCAAAGGTTCATGTCTGTAGTTAATCAACTCCTTCTTCACTTGGTTTATTTCTGTGTCCCTGGAAGTTAATCAGTATTGGCATTTCAGGTGGAAGAATTGTCTATTGTCTCCGTGTTTTTCACCGCCTGGTCCTGAGGCTTCACTGAGGATTCATTCGCTTTTAATGATTGTGTTTAAATACCTTGTTAAAATCCCCATTTCTCAGTGGTAATGAGCTTGGCTCACTCATCCAGCCAAAGTGGATGAGTTCTCTTCCTGTAGGTTCTTGTGCTGATTTTTACAGGCTCTGTGTGGGACAATGAAAACTAATATAAAATTTTCCTGGATAGGAATTGAACTTGCTTTCCTAGCAGCATTTGCTTCTTGGAGTTTTTTGTACTTTATTGTTGCAGTTTTACCTGGGGGTGTGCCCTGTTTTAAAACCTAATGAAATAATAAAACTGTGTCCTGGATTTTAACTGCTGAAGGTCAGCACACTACTTTTGTACACTGTGTGTTGTCTGGCTTTCAGCAGCCATGTTGTCAAAAAATACAGAGCACAGGCAGCATCTCAGCCATTGTATTTTGTCTGTATGAGACATTCTGCCTTGTGGAGAGGCAGTGCTGAGGGACTGTTGTCTGTTGGCCAGTGTGTGGCTGTTCTGTGTGTGGGAGTGCTGGTTAAAGAGATGTTACTCTATCAATCAGCATTCAAGGCCTTGAGAGAACCTTTTTATTCATGGTTCATCTAAAACACTTTCAGATTGGTTGGAAAATTGCAAAGCCCAATTTCTCAGTAAGTTTCCTTTCACTTCCCTTTTTCTAGACTGTTCCATGTTAAGGCAGTGATTTTTGGGCTGTGTAAAGATTGGTGCTCTTGAGGAAGCTTGATGCTCTTTAACTTGTCTCAAAGCACGTGAGCAAAAAGGAAACTGAAAGCGGCACTGTTTTCTTTCACATGAGTGTCATTCACTGTAACTAGCAGAATAATTATTGGATTTGTTTCCCAGTCTTTTCCAGCTCTGTGATTTCAGATGATTTGATTATGCAGTGCGTGATCCATTGGTCCTGATGAGAAGCTACTGTAAATTAGGCAAGCATGTGTTACAGAACAGGAATTCATAACCATCAATACCAATACCATTTTGGGGACACTTAACTTTCAGAGGATGCTTTATCAAAAGAATGCTAGCAGATGGTTTTCCACCTTATGTGCTGTATCTGCTTCTTGTTCAACTTCTGGTGGCAAGGGAAGACTAAGCTGTTTCCAAATATTTCTGCAGTGCAGATCTTATCCAGATACTGTCACTTCCTAAAACTCCCTTTATTCTGTCTGCCCTGTCAAATTGGGTTTTAAGCTTTTGGACTCATGTGTCAGCTCTACTGTTGTCATCAGTCAGTTGGCTGCAGTGGTAGCTCCAGTGTGCACAATCGAAATCTCTGGCAGATGAGGATAAGCCATCTACTGGGGCTTGAGAGCCAAGTTTTTGTACAGTTTGCTGAACTGCATATTATACAGACTTAACTTATAATGCTGAATGCAAGAATTCCTTGAAGTGTTGATTTTCTTGTGAATCTTTGCTCTAATGGCATATAAATGGGCCTCTGATATTGGCTGAGGTATGCCAAAAATGTTGCAGTTCTTCTAGTTCTTACAGGAAAGTGTAGCTGGGCACTTGGAGGGGGATATAAGGAACTCAACAACTAAGCAAGTCATACTAAATAGTGCAGTTGTGCAACATATGGTCCTTGTACTCAGAAAGATCCCTGGCAGAAGGAGTGTTCGGCTGACAATGCTTCGATTTTGTTGCAGTTTGTTGTTCTTTTTTTTCCTCCCAGCAGGCTGGGGTAGCTGAGGAGCTTGATATGGAGCTGCTTCCTTGTATTTCACACAGGATTTCTTCCTTCAGGGCCAAAGTGCTGAGAAGAAAACAGATACTAACATAGCTGAGGCAGAACCGTGCTCAGAGCTGCATGCTGAGCAAACAGAGACTTCAACCAAAATGCCTGGCAGCAGTGCAGAGGCTGTGGGCGTTCGGCAGGAGCAGCCTTTCATCGTCCTGAGCCAGGAGGAGTATGGGGAGCACCATTCATCCATCATGTACTGCAGGTAATGCACTGGCAGAGGGGGCTGTCTTGTAGAAGCCTCTGCAGAAGGATCAGCTGTGTCTGCCCTCTTTCTCCCGGCCTCTGTTGTGTCCAGCACATTGGACATGTACTCGCAGGTTTTGGGCTGTCAAGTTGGTGTCACTGAAAGTAGCATGTAGCTTGTGCTACATGTGAGAAGGACAGAGATTTTTGGACAGAAATATTTGTGATTGTGTAGTGCCAGCCAGGAAGAAAGTCTTTTGGAAAGCAGGTATTGTTTAAGGGCATTATGCTTTATGTCTGGAGCTTAATGTGCTTTGTTGTGCCACTTACTGTGAAGTGAGCAGGAAGGAGTGGAAAGAAGTTCTAATTCCTGCAGAAGGAGCTGGTGTGTGGCCAGGAAAGGAAGGATTAGTGGGTTAATCTAAGAGTTTGAGGGAGAAGAATATCCCATCAGTTTCATTCATTCTACACACAGGGTTGATTGTTCTGGACGGAGGGTGGCCAGCTTGGATGTGGATGGGGTTATCAAAGTCTGGTCTTTTAACCCCATAATGCAAACGAAAGCTTCGTCCATTTCCAAATCTCCGTTGCTGTCCCTGGAATGGGCCACCAAGCGTGATCGGCTGGTGAGTAGTCTGCGTGTGGAAGCACAGCAGGTGATTTGGGGCTCTCTTGTTACAAGTTGCATGTTCACTTCTAGACAGCTGCGCTGTGGATAAGATTGGGGCAGCAGTTAGTTTCCACTTTTAGTGGGACACGGGGAACCAAAGCCTCTAGGGTCTAAAAAGAACTAAAGGAGTGAGTGTATGCTTTGTACTGAGCAAGGAGTTCACCACTGCTTGCCCTGAAACAGAAATTTTGAAGTGCAGTGTGGGTACAGCTGCAGGATAGAAGTAGTGCCTTTGAGAGAATTGCCTGTCTTCACACAGATCACATAGCACCTTGTAAAGACAGGCAGAGGCAAATGAGTCCAGCAGCCTGTGGGAGGCCTGCAGCAGAGAGCTGTGGACCTTTACTCATACCCTGAGCCAGCAGCAGAGAAGGGGAAACAGAGTTGTGAGGGTGGCATTTCACTTGTGCATAAAAAGGTGCGAAAAAAGCTCCATGTCCAGTTCTAGACTGGTGTCTTAAGAGCTGAGAGTTTGTGTGTGCATGAGGAGCTTGGAGCTTGTTTAAATAACATGGCAGTTTAAATGTTTCCTATATCCCTTTTTCTCTAGTTCTGTTACTAGAGAGGAGCCTTAAATTATACAAATTCCTCTGAGTCCTTGAACTGTTGCTAGTGTTTCATGCCCTCCCTTGGCAGATACAGGGCTGTATGAGAAGGCTGGCTTGCAAATGAGGCAGTATTTTTTTGCATTTTCGCTCTGACTATGTGTGGTTTGCTAACCCCAAAATGCCACCTGTGAAGAGCTGATTCTACAGCTTGTCTCTTCTTTGACTTTTAGAAAGCAAGTTATCAATGCAGTTGTTGCTCTTTGTTGTGATGGTGTTTCTTCTGCTTTGTGGAATTAATTTCCTTCTTGCTAATGGAAAGATTCTTGATTCTGAAATACATGTAGGATTCACCAGCAAATTAGGCGCTGAAGTGACAAAGATCTGGCTTGCTCAATTTTCTTTTATAATGCTTCTCTCCATAACTTAAATTTTAATTGAAATTGTAACACCGCTGATAAAGCATGTGTGAGCTATTCTGGATGATTTTATCCTCCCATGGGTGAAAGGAGTTGGCTTCTCCTTGATTTTTTCTTTAGCACACAGTTACCAATCTTAAGCGTCTCTTTCCTTGGACCCCTAGGTATTGAGACTCCATACATGTTTTTCATCCCATAGAGTTGAGCCATGATCTAGAAAGTGGTGTTTATGCCACCTTGGTGCCTATTCGATCTTTTTCTCACTGAGGATCGGGGTTTTTACTCTGACTTCTGTGGCTTTGGGGTAGTGCTACTCAGTGTGATTGCACAGGAAGACAGGATGTACCATTATGGAGTAATATAAATATTACTGTCTGAATGCATAAACAGAAAAAAAATTACTAAGTCTTGTTGGCCAGCATCATTGTACTCCTCACTCACACTCTTTCCATCTACTTCCTTGCTGGTTTCAAGCTATTGCTTGGCAGTGGGGTCGGGACAGTTCGTCTTTATGACACAGAAGCAAAGAAGAATCTCTGTGAAATCAGCATTGATGAGGACATGCCCAGGTAACTCTGGAATACTGATTTTTGCATATAAATATAAGTAAATGGTGTTGGCTTTAATAGTAAGCATCTTCCTGCTGCTTTTCTGCAACTGCAGGACTACCCAGCCTTCATCTAGAGGGCAGTCCCTGCCTGAGCAGTGTAAATCTGTTGAGGTAAATGCGAGACACTCAAAAACTAAGCACATCAATCTGCCCTCCTTTACAGTGCACCCTGTCTTTCAAACTCTTAATGGGAGAGCTCGTAGGTGAGTGTTTTGCTCGAGGCAGCTGCAGGAGAGAGGTGATTCAGACCATGTGCCTGTGTTTCAGGATCCTCTCGCTTGCCTGCAGCCCAAGTGGTGCCTCCTTCGTGTGCTCTGCAGCAGCCCAGAGCCCCGTCTCCCACATTGACTTCTCAGTAATCAACTCCGGGGGCAAAAGCATGAACCAAGTTCCTGGGAAGCTGCTGCTGTGGGACACTAAGACGATGAAACAGCAGGTACTTGCTGGGTTTCTTTCTTTCGTCAGTCTGCTTGCTGAGAATGAGTGTCTTCTGTTTCAGTGTCTAGGAGCCCTCATTCTAAATTATGCTGACTTTCTTTTCAACACCCTTCTTTTTCCTCCTTCCTCCTTTCCCCTCTGTCACATTCAGGATAAAAATAAATAATGTAAGTAGCTGCTGGATTGGGTGAAGTTTTTTGTTTTATTGGTGTGTTGGGATTTTTCTGAGGAATTCTTCAGAATAGTCCATGGCCTTGTTTTTATCCTGGCTGCACAGTTTGTGACTGGAAATATCCCAAGTGGATTGAATGACGCTTTGCTGAGGCTTTCTCCAGTTGAGCTGTACTGAAAGGTTTTCGTTGCTGCTGTTCCCCTTGCCTTCCCTGTTTTTAAGTGAAGTGCTGTCCCTGACATGTAGGAGAAAGCAACATACTCAAGCTAATGCCTGCCAGAAGCTGGTTTTGCAACCTTGAGGCCATGGCCAAGAAAGCTGTGGCTTGGCTGAGGTGAATTGCTGGTTTAGTGTTACAGTAAAATGCTGCTGCCAGACTTTGAAGTCCATAGTCATTAGAGGTGTAGGGCTCCAAACCAGAGTTCTTGTTACTAAATACCATCTTTCTTTCTTCCTTCCCCTGGAGTTCAATGCCTCCAGCTCCATTTCTCAGCATTAATGCAGATTTTCCCTTCCAGCTGCAGTTCTCCCTGGAGCCTGAGCCCATTGCTATTAACTGCACAGCCTTCAACCACAATGGCAACCTTCTGGTCACCGGGGCTGCAGATGGGATTGTTCGTCTCTTTGGTACAGTGCAAAGGGACCGGGGGGTATTGGTGATAGCCAGCTGTGAGGCCAGGTGGCCAAGACTGGCATCTGAGCTTCTATCACAAATACTGTGACCACAGGATGAGGGAAGGGATTGTCCCCCTGCTCCTGGCACTGCTGAGGTTGCATCTCAAACAGCATGTTGGGTTTTGGGCCCCTCGTTGCATGAAAGACATTGTGGGGCTGGAGCGTGTCCAAAGAACAAAACCAAAGCTGCTAAAGGGTGTGGAGCACATGAGGAGTTGGCTGCAGGAGCTGAGGTTCTTTAGCTTAGGGAAAAAGAGACTGAGGGGACACGTCACTGCTTTCTACAAGTACCTGCGAGGAGATTGTAGCCACGTGTTGATCAGTCTCTTCTCCCAGGTAACAAGGGATCAGACAGGAGGAAACAGTCTCAAGCAGCATCAAGGGAGGGTTATATTGGATGTTAGGAAAACTTCTGTCACCAAAGGCATTGTCAAACACTGGACTCCAGGAAAGTGCTGGAGTCACCCTCCCTGGAAATATTTAAAAGATGTAACAAATGTGGCACTTAGGAGTATAGTTTAGTGGTGCAGTTGGCAGTGTTAAAGTAACAGTTGGGCTTGATTATTTTGGAAGTCTTTTCTAACTTAAATGTTTCTGTGAAAATGAGTAGTGAGGTGGTCCCTAATCCTCAGTTGGCTGCCCATAGCAGGGAGGATATGCTTGGAGACCAAGGTGGAAGCTGTTGTCTCCACAGGAGCTCTCAGGAGTGAATTGACATAGACTTTTTCTGGAGAACATTGGCTGCAGACCCTGGTAGTGCTGCTGGATTTGTTGCTTGTCTCCTGCTGAAGAGGACTGTGAATTTGCTCTTAAGCCATGTGGTCTTGTGCTGTGCCAGATAGCAGTACCACTGGAGGCTGAGTTGTGAGGAAAGCAGTTAATGTGAGACCTTCCATTTAAATGCAAGAGCTTCACATCAGTCCTCCTTTTGGGAGCCATTTGTGTTTCTCAGGTTTTTGTTCTCTTCAGCCTGTCCTTGCAATAAAGGCAGTTCAAGCCTCCTACCTTTGAATGGGGAATCTGCTTCTGGCACAGGTGGAGGCTGCAGTCCCAGGTCTTTGGGAGGACAGAGCAGTCAGCAGCTGGGAGGGATGGGCAGGATAACAAGGGGAGGAGGAGGGCCAGTGGTGCTTGGATGCAGAATGCCTGAAGTTGACAGCCTGTGAGCAGCCCCATAGAGTCCAAAATGACAGCAGGAGTATAGGCATAGGGTGCTGGGACTGGATTGGGCTCCCCCAGGCTGGTTTGGAGGGCTGGCACGGAGACCTCAGGAACATAAAAGGCCTCCCTCTCTTCACCTCAGCTCTGTGTGAGTACAGGGAGTGTTCAGTACTGGTTCTCCCCTCAGATATGCAGCAGCACGAGTGCGCCATGAGCTGGAAGGCCCATGATGGGGAAGTCTACTCCGTGGAGTTCAGCTATGACGAGAACACAGTCTACAGCATAGGCGAGGATGGCAAGGTAGGCTATGGATCACCTCCTACTGCTCAGCTGGCAGAGAGGTCACTTCTGGAGTCTTCTCTGTATCGTGGGGACAATTAAAATACGCTCAGATTCTGGATGAAACATGGGCTGCTAACTGCAGTCTTAGGTGTGCAGTACCACCCTGCTCCATGCAATCTGCAGAGAGAGTGGCTGAAAAATATGTTAATAGTTGGAGCTGTCTTTGACCTTGTGTGCAAATCCTATTGTTGGTGACATCTCTTTTCTAGATAGTCTATGTGAGGATGACCTTTCTCTGACCCTGAGATGACCACATTTGAGATCTGGGATTCACAGGGAAGCATATCCTTGACCACTTTGCATTAATCTCATCAGCAGCTCCCTTTACAATTGTTATTGTAATTGGCATTATTGCTTATAATAAACATCTCAATTTCTGCAGTTCCTCAGTCTTCAGCAGTAGGGGTCTGGGTCAGTGAGTGATCTTGGCTGAGGAGTTAAGCAAGTTCTCACCAAAGTACTGCATGCAGTGTGGAAGGACACATAGGCAGTAGTGCTTGAGGAAGGCAGAGCATATCTTTGCCTGGGTAGACAGAGCTCTTACAGCCTTTGCATCCTGGGCTTTGTTCATATAGCCACTTAGGTACAGATGTGAAAATGCCATCTTCTGTTTGTGAGGAATACCCACTATTTTGCTAAAAGCAAAAAAAAGGCAACTCTATTTGCATCCCAGTTAATTTCATTATAAGCTTTTGTCATTTCTTTTTCTCATTCTAGTTTATTCAGTGGAATATCCATAAAAGTGGCTTGAAGGTGTCTGAGTATGACCTTCCCCGGGAGGCTACAGGTCCTTTTATTCTGTCTGGATACAGTGGCTACAAGCAAGTGCAGTTCCCACGAGGACGGCTTTTTGCTTTTGACTCTGAGGGCAATTACATGTTGACATGTTCTTCTACTGGGGGAGTAATTTTTAAGGTAAGTCTGAGAAGTGATGGGGAATACTCTTAAGTATCCATACAAACTTATGCTAATTACAAGGGTGCAACAGCAGCTACTGGAAGTTCTTAAGCAGCACATACCCATCCTGGCTCTGCCAAAGCTGCTGCTCAGTTTCACACAGTGTGCATTTTAGCAGTGTGTAGTGAGTGTACAGCAAGTGTTTGGTCCTACAGCTCGAGTACTGGTGCTCTTTCTTAAAGCCTAGCTTTTAGTGTCCAAGTGACTAGGACAAAGTTTTAATTACTTTTTTAATATATGGATGCATGCCAGTTCAGTGCAAAATGTATCATTGTTGACTGGTGCTCATGTTCAATCTGCCTTCTGTGCCTGGTGGTTCTGTTAGAGCCAGCCTGATCCTCTTCCCTTACCGTGTACTGAAATTAAACAAAGGGTAAGGCTGAATGGTTCTGAGTGCCCAAATTTCTATGCTTCAGTAACAATTGTTGCTGATCACATGCCCATGCTCTTGCAAGGCAGATTAGATGGAATTTTTACTTTGCATCTGGGGCACTCAGAGCACTTGAACTAACATGAGCTACAGCTTAGGCTTATGTGCTTCTCATGAGTGTATGCCCTTAGCCTGCCTTGTTCAGTTACTGCAGTTCAGTTGATGTCAAAAGTTGAGCTGCTTGAGAGCACATGCTTCTGTAGTGAGACTGGAAGCTTCCTTTCCTGTGTGTGCTACACACATCTCAGTATCTCTCTGATTTTCTGCTTACTTAGCATGCTTTCTGCATGCTCTTAGAGATACAGAGTCTCTGTCAGGCTTTGGCTTGTCTTGTCGGGTGGATTGCCCCCACTGCAGAAATGTACCTCCCTAAAATCTTATGCTTTCCTTCTTTTTAGTTAAATGGTGAGGAAAAGGTTCTGGAGAGCTGCCTTTCCCTAGGAGGACACCGAGCTCCTGTTGTCACAGTGGATTGGAGCACAGCCATGGACTGCGGGACCTGCCTCACTGCTTCTATGGATGGCAAAATTAAATTAACAACCTTACTGGCTCAAAAGTCTTAACCTGGACAGTACTGAAGGGAGAAAGAGCAATAGAGCTGACAAAATCAGTGTTAATTCACAGGAACAAACTGCATGGGAGAGAAGGCAAAGCAAAGTCCCTCTTCTCATTGTAGCTTTTGCCTCTTGATAAATACATTTGCCAAACCACTGTGCAACAGAATGCCAGTATGGGACTGGATCAGTGGCAGCACTGAAAAATAAGTCTCCACTAATCCATTGTGGCAGCTGGACTTCCCTCTGTTAGGGAGTCTTGAGTAGCACGTGGCTAAAAGGCTGTGGTCACGTCAGGGTTCTGCAGAAGAAGGTGAGGCTGGAGGAAGCAAGCATGAGGCAGCACAGTGCATGACAATAGGATGACTCAAACTGGAAAGGCTGATGAGAAACCAGAGTATTCTTTGGGTATAACATTTGTTGTTACGATTTTGTTAGTTTGTTTTTATTTGTTTTTTTCCTGTAAAAAGAAAATATTCCCTTGCATTTGAACTCTATGCTTTGTTTAGCAGCTGCTGCAAAACATGGAGGGTGGTGAGGGCAGTGATGTACCAAGTCTCCTGCATGCAGAAAAGCTCTTGTGTTTTCACCAGGTGCTTCCAGCACCACATCTGCACACCATGGTGAACCAGACATCCAGGAACAAAACCAACTGTGTTTGCTTGGATGTATTGTGTTACCTTGCCACAGGTATCTGCTACCAACCAGAGCAGAAATCCTGAGTCAGACTTTGAAATACTTGTGTTGGAGTTCAGAAGCTACATAATGCCTAGCAGCTACCTGAGGGTGGATAGGGGGAGGGAGGCCAAGACCAGTGTGGCCCTGTATGGGGCTCTCTGTCACTGGAGCTGTCTCTCCCCCTAAGCCCACCAGCATCAGGGCAAGTGCTGTGCTCAGGTACTGCATAGTCTTCGAATGGACTAAGCAGATACATTTCATCTGCTTACACATTGCCATGGAGCTTTCTGCTGCTTATGTCCGTGGCCTGTATTGGGAGTTTGTGGTACTGTCGTTCCTTGGAAAATGAGCAGCCATTCATGAGCCATATGGGTAGCCATTCTCATAGACAGCTGTTCAAGGATAACACTGCTGGATACTGAAATCCTCACTACAGGCATGTTCATGTTACAGGTACCTGTTGTCCATGGAGTAACTTGCTCCTGCTGACTACACTCATCTGATAACCCCACCTTCCGTTCTCCAAGATTACAGGTCTCCTGCCAGACTGACATCTAAGTACAGGGTTTCCACCTCAGAGGGATGTGATACTTATGGTGCAGCTGCTCTTCATGCCAGTCTGAGCTAATGTCCCCTCCAATCCAGTGCTGAATTCTACCTGGCTTCAGGAATTCCCAGTGTTAGTCTGAGAGTTTAGAGAGCTCTCAAATGGGAGCCTTTGTTTGCCTCTCAAAAGGCCAGGAAAGATTGTGGCTGTATTCCAAGCCCTGCAGTGTTGACTACATTGCACAGGGGTTTTAGAATTTAGAATTACAAAATTACAGAATGGTCTGGGTTGGAAGGGACCTAAAGCTTTTCTAGTTCCAACTCTGCCATGAGCACGGCTGCCTTCCGCTAGACCAGGTTGTCCAAAGACCCATTCAGCCTGGCCCTGAACGCTACCACAGATGTTACTTTCTTCCAGATGTTATCTTCCAGCCCTCACAGAGGGTCAGCTGAGGTTTCTGGAGGGAGACTACTTTCAGGTTTGCTTCATAAGTAGGACTAAAAGCAAAACAAAACCCCCAAAACAGGGAAAGAAAGTATAAAAAACATGCGCCAGTCCAAGGCTGCTATGCACAATGATGCATTAGCACATCATTGATACTGTGCCAGAAGCCTGGAGGGAAGGAATGAACATGTTGTTTTGCTAGAACAACGCTCAGCATGCTGTATTCCCAGAGGGGCTTCTACTCCATCCTTGGCCCAGGCTCCCGTCTCTCCTCGCTTCCCGGCACGAGTCCCCCGGCTGCCGCTGCCCCGGCTCCCTGCGCGCCCGGGCCTGCAGAGGGCGCCCATGCAGCGGCGGGCGCGCTCGGGGCGTCCCCGCAGCCCCGTCACCGAGCGCTCGGGGGCGGCGCCGGGCCCGGCCCGCCAGGCTGCCCCCGGGGCTCGGAGCCTGGCACGCAGCTGGCCCGGAGCCGTGTGTGCTGCTTGACGGACTATCGAGGGACGCGCGGCCGCACTGCCTGCCTGCCTGCCTGATCAAACACCGGGCTCCGTGGTGACTTGGGTTTTAGGGCGGCCTGGGGCTGCTTTTCCAGCTGCCCCGCAGCGCGGTCGGGCGAGGAAGCCGCCTCGGTGTGACGGGCGGAAGGCGCCCCGGCGGCGCCGCCCCGCGTGGCCATGGCGGCGGGCGCGCGGCGGCGGCAG